GGGGATCATCCGCTCATTATTAAAATTCTTTCAATGACCATTCATTCATTCATCATAGTCGTCAATATACATCCAATGACCCCTGCCTGCCTAACTACTGCTCAATATGTATCTAGGTTCGCTCTAGGAGCAATAAATGCATTCGAAGGTCTAGACTGATTCGTTGGTCGGCTGATTGATCTGTGCAGTCGGAGTCAGTTCAGGTTTCGCGCAAATGTGGCCCGTGGATGATGGAGGGAGTCTCAACTGGCTGTCCACGGAGACTTTGCGTGGCCATTGTCAGCTCGGGCTACGTCTGGCCCATAGAGTTCAAAGCATTTTCCTTTCAATTCGACGATCCGGTGCGCCACTTCTTTACCTCAAATCACAGCCCCTGAGCTATCCTGAAGCCCTACGATGTGTTGTTGGCATCACAACTCTCAAATCCAAACTCTGGGCCGCACGACCGCATTATCAGCAGAGAGTAACATAATCGATGTCTGTCAGCAGGCGACCTGCTACGAATCGTGGTCGAGTCACAAACCTTCCTGACGAGTACGATGAAGCCGATCGTTCAACGCTGCTAGCGTACAAGACCGAAATCACAGATGATAATGCCGGCACCGAAGCTGAACTTCCGGACGCTGGGAGAGCGCCCTTGCGTTCCGCTAGCTCGACTATCATCGACTTAAAACAGCCTCTCATCCAGGCTGAGAGAGCTGCTGCTGACCACGCCAGGCCGTGGTTTGGTATAATGGCGTCTGTCAAGGCTTTCTTTTGAAAGATCAACGACAACCTAGTCAATAACAGCTCGAATAACGCTCGTCTTGACTCTGCTAGCATGACGCCATGCGTGCAGCGGACCGTCACACGCTCTCATCAGGATCCGCGGTCTACACACGACGACGCAACAGTGACCGTGGCTGGCATTTTGGACGAATCCATATTTGTTACTCCACGCCCACACCACGACGCGACGTCTTCGTCGGATCATCTGGAGGAGCATCGTTCTATAAAATCCTTAAACTCAAACGAATTTTAGTTATTTAATATATATCAAATTGTAAATCGGGATGATAGAATTTAAAGGGTCCAGTTATTAATCTAAATAATTAACAACATAAATACCCAATAATTGAAATTCAATATTTTAAGAATTGAAAATATTCAATCCCAATAAGCTTCTTAAATACAAGCTAAACTTTTTATCAACTAGTACTCCATAGAGAAGTTTCGATTATTTTTCTATATAATTTATTAGATAAGAGCTTACCTCATGAAGGGTAATCTAGATATCTAATGTAGTCCGGCTCCTACCTAAACTTCGTCTAATCTCAGCGTCCTCATTCTGTTTTCTAACATTGTCCCAGCCGGGCAGCTTGACGGCATGGTCTAGTGCGACCGGCAAGCCCCTATGCCTACCACGAATCATCATAATAATCATTACCAGCTTTGAACCTGTGTACCAGCCGCCCACGAAGCTGAATGAGTAATTTGGCAGTCCCATAGACAGTCCGATATTGGTATATCCCGACACGATTTCGAACAGGAAGTTGAATACGCTATAGGATCCTGGGTCCGCAATTGAATGAGACGTCTCGATAAGTGTGATTAAGAATAGAGAAAACGCAATGGCCCAGATATCGTGTGACAGCTGTCCTCGAAGGTGCTGCGACACGAGGCTTACGTGGCCCTCGAAAGCCGAGGTAGATCCTGACGCCTCGTTTGGGTCGTTGAAGTTAATAGCAGCAGACCGCTTCAGCCGGGGCCTCGCCGTTACGCCTACACCTTGGAAGTTATTCATCCTACTTTGGATCTGCTTGCCCACGAAGGAGGTGCCACGCCTGCCGATGGCGGCTATTTTCTTAATCGGCTTCGTAGAAATGCCCGACTTTTCTTGTGACGCGCCTGGTGCTGAGACTGCTGATCTTTCTAGGCCAAGGGTATGGCCAGACGTCGGTCGAGATAGGAGGGGCCCAAAGGTTGGCAGGAGCTCCTCTGCCGACTCGTCTGGAGTTGAGTTCAACTCCTCGGACTTTTCAGATTGTGTGGTGTAAATTCCCAGTGACCGTTCTTCGTACACCTTGAATTGAGTTAGTTTTGAGCGCAAGTCTCGACTAGACTAAAGAAGTAATGCCACTAACATTTGAGTTTCGCATGACGATGATCTCCGGGTACGCGGAAATATACATTACGATGACCCATAGGACAAGAACGTCGAAATAGAGGCTTGACACAGAAACAACTGCGAAGCCTGAGGAAGGAATGCCTATAGGCAAAACAGTCAGCCAATCTCTAGAATAGAATGGCATCGCCCTCATGACTTACTTAGTGCCTGAAATAGGGCCAGCCCGACTCGCTTTCCAACTGGGTATGCCTCGATAGCAGAGTTGCCAATGCTGAGAACCAATAGAAGGACCCAGTCCATAACAGCAATGGTGCTGAACATTGTGACAAACACCAGATTGGCCTTGGAAGGAAACATCATCATGTACAAACGACGAGGGTACTTCAGGATGAAGTCAAAAGCTTCCTTCCACACGGTGTATTCGTCGCTGTCAACAGAGACTTTCAAGACCAGACTGCAGAAGTAAACAGTGGCTCTGAGGAACGCAGGAAACGCAGCGTTTCCGGCTAGAGAGAGGATGGTTACAATAGTTAAGACGAAGGCATCATTGTCAAAGGCTGTCACGCCTGCGTCGAGGAGCGTCATTCCAGCATTATTGAATGAAGAGACGGCTAAAAAAATGCCAGCCCACCAGGAATTTTGAGCGTTTACGGCTGTTATACTTTGGCTGTGCACGTATGACCAGGCGCCGAGCGTGATGGCCCCAAGGATCTGCCAGAGTATAAAGTAGATGCAGACAATGGTAAACAGAATCTTGAGGGCGCGATATTCGACTCCACCCAGGTATTCGCGCTGTTCTTCTGTGAGGTCGAAAAACTGGCCGTTCCTGCCGACGGACTCCTTGTTCTCGTGGATGAAAGCCTTGAAATCGAAGCTTTCTGAAACGGACTGGCGACTGTCGTCACGACTGAAAGGCCTCCTCCTCGTAGCGGTATTCGACTTGGGCGAGAGCGGCTCGGTAGAACTAGTGGAGAAGCCAAGCCTTTGGCCTTCTTCGATACGTTCCAGCATGCCGGGTGGTCCAGACTCTTGCTGGTTTGTCTGGCTATGGCTCCGGCCGTGGCCCTGGGATGTCGATCCCGTCAACTGGAAGGCATCAGCCTCAGCCTGCCGCTCGTGTCTACTCTTCTTTTGCTTCCGCTTGGACCCCTTGAAGGATGACATCACAGGAAGGCCAATCATGGCTCCAGCCATGCCGACTATGGCGCCAGTCTTCTTTATCCTCCTGTTTCGTTCGGCCTCGACAATGTCCTCGAAACGCTTTTCAAAAACGCGAGCACGGAGCCAAATGGTGAAAATGGAGACGAATACAGGACTGCCAAGAACCATCATTAAGGCAATGATAGCCTGCTGGGCGGTAGTGAGTTTGCTGATGTCCACTGTGTTGAGTCAGGATGTGGTAAAGGCAGAGATGACGAGGAAAAGGCTGTCAATAAAGCTAATGCTATCAGCCGAGTGCGAAAGCCCGTGAAAGATGCCGGCAAAGATAAGCCCAGTGAATATGAAGTAGGCGTAGTGGGCTGTGATAAAGTTGACCGGAGGCAGGTATGGACGGACGGCAGCGCATGCTTCAGACATGTGGTCCGCCGTGACTGGATGGTCGACCTTGAACTTCTCCCAAAGTTGCCATGCCATCGTTGTCGATACTCGCTCCGAGGGCAGTAATGGTTTGCGTAAGTGACGCGAGCGGACAAAGACACGAGCAAGCTCACGACTGACTTCGTCGTGAGAGGTTGTCGTTACTTGATAGGAGAAAAAGGAAGGATTGACCTTGCAGGTGAGAAGTTTGGCCAGCAACCAAAGAGGAAGCGTTGCACTTCCCCCTGATCGACTCATGCGCAATGATGCCTGCTCTGGAATCTTATCCGGTTGGCAGTCTGCAGGGGCGGCTTATCCCGGGCCCACCCGTTTTAAGAACAGCTCATTACCCGTGAACAGGGCTCAACGCACCACCTATTGGGCATTGGACAAGCTCACCGTTTCGTACTAATTATACCAACCATCCTGGTTAATTGTGTCTCTTCTTCAAGAGCTGTCAACAGCATCTTTTTTTTCTATCCTCTACAGTGAGCCAGTCCCTCGTGTAGAAATTCGTATCCTTCCTCTATACGACTGGGCATTGCCTGTGCCGTGTGTTCAGGTTCAATAGATTGATACTAACCTCCTTCAGAAGTGAAGACATTGCGACCGATGCAAAGGAAAATACCAGGATATTGTGATCTAGCCAGATTACATACATTCGCTTGGCATTCATCCGGGTCAAAACCCGTTGAAATTTCCCTCTTTATCCGATAGAAGCCAGGGGTATGTTGCTGTAGCCATTCGAAATGAACCTTGAGACCACCTCCAAGCCGTCTTTAAGCCGTTGAGATGGCATGCCAAGACCAATGCGGATCCATCCTGCATATTCCTTCCCAAAGCAGGTTCCTGGAACCAAGAGGACCCCTTCCTTCTCATGAAGTACTTTGCACAAGGACAAATCGTCCACAAGTCTGTCACCTCGCGTGAACTTCATGAATCCCAAGGCCGCTCCTACCGGTGCCACCCAACTGCACACATCCGAATGATGGTCAATAAAGGCCTGCACGATGAGTTTGTTCCGCTTTGCTTGCGAAATATTCTGGTGAACGATAGAAGCAGAGCGTTTTGAGTCCAGCGCAAAATCTGCGACATGTTCGTCTAATTGACTTGTGGCGATGAGGCAATAAGCACGAGCGTTAACACAAAGGTCAATGATGTCTTGGCTTGCCGACGCAAGCCAGCCGATGCGAATTCCCGCAAGAGAATAGCTTTTTGACAATGCACTGGTTGCTATGGTTTTTTCATAGCCTAGGGAGATGATAGAAGGCGGTGTTCGACTTTCGCTAAAAGAAGATGGGTAAAAAATTGGCCGCTAAATCTCGTCGCTGAAGACAATGATAGAGTGTTTTCGGGCTATGTCGATGATTTTAAGCAGCGCCGCCTCAGATAGAACTGTGCCCAGAGGATTGAGAGGATTGCTTTGATGCAATACCAAGTATTAGCTCGACTCTGTGCCCCTCTTAAATTGAGGGGAACTCACTTGATGACTATCATTTTGGTATTTAATTTGATAAGTCCTTCCAGCTCATCAAAGTCGAAGTTCCACTCGTTTTGGGGGTCGGCCTTCCAGAAGCTTACTTCTGCGCCCAACGACCCAGGAATAGCCTGAAGCTGAGGATAGCCAGGAGAAGGTACGATGACATGATCTCCAGGTCCAATCAAAGCATAGAAGACAATGAAATTGGCAAGTGACCCGCTGGCAGTGGTCAACACTTTTTCAAAGGACAAGTCCTCCGAATAGAGGTTTGCAATTTTGGATCGCAAGGAGGCGAGACCGGAGAAATCTGCGGGATAATCAAGAGGTTGAGATCGAAAAGAGGAGAGGAAGTCGTCGCAGTTCTCTTGGCCGGGAACAGCTTCAAGATCTGAGATAGATGCCGGATGCGCTGAGGTATGAGCAAGGTTGTGGCGGGTTGACGTTGATCGCTCCGCGAGCCACTAAGATAAACGATGAGTGCCGTTGCTTTCGATTGGAAACACAAAGACACTTACATGATCCACTGCGAAAAATTCGAGCTTGACCATGATTCTACGATTCGATACCAGGAATGGGCGCAAAGAGAGGAGCAGGAAGAGGTGCAGGGCAAAGGTAATGAACAATATTTAGGAAATGATCAAGCGATTAAAACAGGCCACAGAATTTTAATGCAAGTTGACTGGTATATATTTCTTTATATAAAGTCCTTCCTAGGGAGATGGCGAGTGTGCTCTGCTTGCATATATTAAGGCGCGCCCTTTTTCCAGCCCCGTGGGGCGCGCCCTTCTTGAGACTAGACATACGGGCCTCGTATATCATCAGGGCGCTAAGATCGCCTGACGATTATTAGTGGGCTTCTTGACATCCTTCAATTACTGTAGGCTGTGGGCATGATAGTGACCCGCGGGGCAAAAGCTCACCAGAGAAAATTTGTTTGTTTTTCATCAAGAAACTTCAAGTCACTATCAGATCCCCAGCATATCAAGTTAAGGACTTTTCGGCTCGACTGGCGCCGAAATCTCAAACTTGGGCGGGGCGCGGCTCTTTGAATAAATAAAAAAGCAGCTTTAATCATGGCTCTGCAAGAGAACAGTTGTCTTGTCTATGAACATTTCGCTAAATTCATTTTTTCCAGAGCAGTTTATAATATTTCCTCTTAACCGTGACAATAAACTGTAATGCGGACAATTCTTGATTCGGCGGCAGATGCTTTCGGCTGCACACCTCTCGTGCGCCTAGATCGAATCGCGTCTGCTCTCAGCCTCGATGGAACGATTTTTGCTGAACTTGGCTATCTGGATCCTGGTGATTCGAAAAGGGCCGTGTCGCGTTCGGCATCATAGAGGAAGCGTAAAGGTTGAGCACACTCAAGCCCGGCCAGCCAATTGCTGAGCTTACGAGTAGCAACGCGGGCACTGAGCTTTCGATTGTTTGCGCCAACAAAGGCTACAGATTCGTCGCTGCCATGCACAAGGGACTTTATTGGACGTGCCACAAGATGGCCGCACTGGGCGCTGAGGTTTTGCTCATTTACCAAATGCCAGACTCGGCACCTAGAGAGGTTTCGAGACCTTATCTGCAACCTGTGGGAGAAAAGGTAAGACAGATCGAAATCAAGCTCAGGGCGTTCCGTGCCGACAAGTGGTTCACTCGCGACGGAAATTGGTAGACCCATTACAACGGAACTGGGACGGAGCTTTGGGACAGAGCAATGGCAATCTTGATGGGTTCGTTGATTACGTCGGCTTAGGAGGCGCATCTGCTTGTGTGACAAAACGACTCAGGGCACTGAACCCATCCAGCAATGCTTCACTGTCGAACCTCACGAAGCAGCCGTCTTGGCTGATCAGCCTGTTTCTCGACCAGTGCATCCTATTCAGGAAAAAGACTATGTGATGACTAGCGTGATTGCGCGCAAGGAGGGATTATTTGGAGGGTTCTCCCGCGGCGCGAACATAAGCGCGGCTTTTGAATTGCTCAAGGGGCCCGTGCAAGGGTTGACGGCTTCAATCGTAATTTGCAACTCAGGTCAAAAGTACCTGTCAACCAATCTTTGGGCTGATATATCAAAGAAATGATGTAAAGCTAGCTATTCTCTGCGAAATACGCGGGAAAAAACTAAGGAAGGCCATTCTCGCCCTAGGAACATCTCTTTGCTAAGATCGACGCCAGTTGCACGCTTTTCTGTTCTCTTGTTCACCTGAGTCGATTTGACATGATTATCTCGCATCTTCCTCGGTGATAGGCAAATATGTCACGAAACAGGAATGCTATCGCTTTGTCCCGTGCTACTCCGCGTGAACCTCACATTCGCTCAGCATACAGACTGCTCTCTTTTCTTCGACTTAGATGAGTTGATTCAATCCACTTTGAACCCACTCCATGTGCCCATTTCTGCGTTCCATAACTCTTGACAAAAGAGTTGCTGGTGACGTTGCCAGCCTGACTGGAAGTAAGTGGACCATACAGTAAGGTAGCCACGTGCTATCAGTACCCTAAGTAGAACTCATACTGAGAGCAACATCGCGCGGCCCTCAAACGGATTGTCTGTCCTTTGTACATTGTCGCAAGTTGGACAAATGCACCACACACCTATGGCACCATTCGTTCCTAGCAAAAGTGGCTAAGCTCTGAGAAATGGCTGCCCATTCACAACAGCCACGAATGGCCACGTAAGCGTGATTCATTTTGAGCGAAGAATGTATCATGTGGCTAGCTGAACACAATATCTCTACAGCCCCGCCTCAAGAGAAGACCTGGAGAACGTTCTTTGACTGTTATCTCAAGAAAGCTAACAACGATTAGAATTTGACCCCCTGTAAGACTTAGCGTTCTCAATGCTGGAGGCCTGGATATTGTCAACAAGCTAGGGAATGCATTTCCCCTTATGCGTTAAATGGAGCACAAAATCTACCTTAATGCGGAAACCAAAGAGCAATAAGAAGTTGCATTCTCCTCAACAAGCCATGTCTCGCACAGTGCAGTTGATGGTTGTACTACATTCGCTATTACTTTCCCTATTCGAATTGTATTTTAAGGATACACCAAGCTTCGTTTATGGGCTTAAGTTGTGGAGTCTGAGGATTTCAACCGTCTCTGGGACGCTTCAAAAGGTTGACAAGCCATTGGAGAAAGTACCTATTGACGAATGTTGGCCACCTAGCTGAAATCCTAGAAACTCAACGCCAAAAGCTGATCAATCAGCACGGCTATTTCAGGCTTTGGGGCTGCATATTTCAATAACGGGCCCATCGGAAACCTGCATGCCTCTCACCGGTATTGGAACAGAAAATGTCAACGCCACTGCACCCAGTCTATACGCCCAGAGAGAAAGAGTTTCCTTTGCCTGACAAGGCAGCATGCCTCGATATTACTATCTGGCTGTTCGGATGGATCATCGAGCCCGAAAAAGAACTGCGCTAGGCCATTCCCTTTCTCAATCCCGATCATCAAATGATGCAAGGCTCCGACTTTGCAGCAGAGGAGTCTACAGGCTTCACGCGGGCAAAGACCAAGGCTCATTTCTGCTATTCCCACTCATGGACTCGTGACTTAGGGACACAAAGGACTTACGTGTGTTGAATCATGGTTTGTTTATCTAACTTTGAGAATGCACACAACTTCGGTATCAGAAGAGCTTAAGCTCTCAATCTAGTCACTAAACTCCAGCAGCTCTGACATCGATGCTTTCAGATGGCATGTTCCATGCATGTTACTGTTCACATCCGCTCAATCGGAGATCAACGGCCACAGTTGATGTTCCAGGATGTGATGCCATTCCCAAAGAGATCGTCGAAATGAGGAGTCTCCCAGGTTCCATCTTGGTGTAAGGCTTGGAAAGAGTACACTGGTACTTGCGACGGCTCAGTCGAAGTTGCAGAGCCGTTGGTCTTGTCATTTCTATTCAGTCCAAGCGTGTGCCTAGCACTTCGAGGAAGCATTGCTCCAAACTCGCACCCTGTTGTGACGGTAGATGAGCCGGGATCGTCCAGAGCCTGAAAGCCCATGAGCGTAACCGGAGCTGTCGGGGTGGGATCTCCGGAAGTAAAAGATTCTTCATTTCGTTTTCTTGCGCCTGTAGCATACTCTAACCTTTTTACCGCGTTCTGGATGACTATCATTAATATATGAAGAGTTCTTGTTGTAGCTGGCTCCCAAAAACTCTTGAAGCAGTAGGAAAGACTCATATGAGGGCAAAGTCTGCAGGCAAGGATCACTCTGTTATATTTTACATAATACAGATATAAAGAGCTATTATCGCGTTGATAAAATAGGGATGAAGCCATTTGGTAGGAAGATTAGTGCTGTGACCAATGGGAAGTTCAAGTACAGTCAAAGATACGGGAGACAGTGGCAAACAACCTGAGCTTCTTAAAACGATTGGTGTCGATCATTGTATTTACAAGCTGGGTAATAGAGCGGGCAGCGGCTGAGTACAGTATCCCATAACTTTTCATTCTCGTGACCATCGAAATCATGGAACAGATCAGAAGTCTTGAGGTAATTCAAATTTAGTCTCAACTTGGATAGCACTGAACGTTAAGGGGGAACATGCACACTGAGCCGCAATACCAGGCACCAATACTCGACATCACCTTGTTTCTGAGGTTCACCTGGAGGAAATTGGAGTCTATACGAGGTACATGAGGTCAGGCAAATGGAAAGGGAAGTTAAGGTGAAGGGCCGGAACTCGGAGATGATTGTCCAACAAGCCGCTCATAGCCGAGTAGAAAGGATTGAATCAACCAATCAAGTTCAACTCCAAGTATTCCTGTGGAGCATTCTCTGTTGGTCATGTCTTACTGGTTATGACAACCTGCTTCAATCGATTAGACCACCCCGCATAGTAGTCTGCCAAGCTCACTTCGAAAAGGTTCTTGACCTATCAACCGCTTACTTCCCTCGATAGGATCCATTCGGATACGGTTGATTCACTCAAACTGATTGGACTGACCATAGTAAGCTGGATGAAGGGAAGGCTTTCACTTTTTTGTCGCTTAAGTATGACAATTGAGTATGGTGTCGGGCACAGAAACTGCGGGATTTACTTTAGGCTAGCGATCCATTATCTGCGATGTCACATCGTATGCGCCTGGGCAAGCCGTTGTAAGAAAGAGATGCTACGAAGGTTTCCTCGGCGTAAGCGCTATAGGCACCCAAAAGGGCAGTTTATTGTAAACTTGCAGGCCAATGCTTCAAGGATCAATGCCAAGAAGCGGGCAGACTAGAGGCATGTCTTGCACGAAAGGACTTCCCGAGCTCGTCCTATCCGCCGGGCACTTGCCGGACTGCGCGCACAAATTGATAGTAGTTGAGGACAGCAATTGCAATATGCGATCCAGCAAGGTAGATTTTGAGGGACTTAACTCGAAAAGGTGAAGAGAATAGCACGGCATGAAGAGTCTCATGGTTTAAGGCTTCCACTCAATGCCGATGGGGGAAACGCCCGCGAGCGGTAAAGAGAGTTTCACCGGGGCGGTGGCGATGCCCTCACATGTTGTCTAGATATGCATAGGATACTTCAGACTGATGTCAGCTAGCAACTGGCGCCCCATCTGCGATGTAGTAAGACGGCACAGGAGGGGCCACCGTATCATGACTCCGAGCAGTCATCGGCAACTCTTTCTCTTATTTAGAATAATAGACCTCATAGTACAGACAACTTGGAAAAGAAGGGGTATAAAGCCAGGTTACTTCCTCATCAACGATGGTTCTTTTTCCTTCTTCTTCACTATCAATCTCTCATCATTCAAACTCAGTAGTATCGTGACAAACACCACCGCCGCTCGAACTCATTATGTACTTCTCATCACTTCTCGTTGTCCTCGCGGCCACCGCGTCAGCCATCGACATTAGGGCCCACGTTGGCGACAACTGCGCCGGAGGTTCAGTCGCTTGTACCAACATCAATCCAAACGTGTGCTGCTCTTTCAGTAGCTCTGCAAGCAGCGGCAGATCGAGCATTGCTGTGGTTGCCGTATGTGAAAACCTTTTGTTTTGCTATCAAAATTTTATGAACTAATGATTGCCGAGCCCAGATTCCAAGCAACTGGCGCATTCGCACTGAGGCATACACGGGCGGTGGATGCTCATTCTTTGGGGGTCAGCGCGATTCGGGCGGTAGCACAAGCGTCTGTCTGCCTTACACGACGCGCGGCGACCGCACGGGGGGGCAATACTGGTTTCTCAACCGCAAGCGGGCTGTCGACGAGTCTTGCCCCACCGAGCAGCCCGGTGCCGGTAAATGCGAGGCTGTCGTCAAACCTGATACCCTCGGCCTCGCAGACGGCACTGAGTATGACATTGTAGGCCTGACGGATGAGAAACTTCAGGAGCTGGTGAGTGGAATTGAACTTCCAAAAAAGAACCCTGTATGCATGAGACTCAGACGAGATGCTGACCTATTTCCCCTGTCTCTAGGAAAATATTGCCAACACTGGTGCTGATGCCGACGCCGTACCTGCCGAATTTCAGTCTCTACGTAAAACGGAGTCTTGAGGCTATGCACAAGCCCTTAACCAGGATCAAGTATACTGGATGGAAGCTTGAATCAAGCAGGAGCAAACTGGAAGTATTTTACTGGGGTTCGGCCATGCGGGCTTGTAATGATATATGTACCTTATCTAACAAGGTCCCGGCTAACTATATTGAACCAAATAAACTCAAATCTTGGCGGGAAACGGTGTTTCTTGCTCATATGTGATAGTTTTTATGATCGGAATGCTACCTGTTCACTAACACAGATCAAGGCTCCAGAGGCATAGTGGCAACCTTTCAAGAGCATCAATATCATGCGCAACTTTGTGCGAAACCCAGAGGGTACCGTTCATAGTCCAGTTCTATGGGCGTGATGCAGTCTTCTGGCTTGTATGTAGCCGCACGGAGCCATCTCAACTCCTTCGCAATAGATATAAATGTCTCAGAGCACGTCACGATACACGGCACGCCACTGTGAATAGGTAAGTAGGATACGGCTCGCCTCTATTCAATCCAACTTTAGGAGGTAGCGGGCAACTTAATATCAAAAAGTTGTACATGCTGTGGCAACTCTGACACTCAAAGAAAGAGGACGCCATCCGTCCTTTGGGCATCTAGAACGAGAACGGTTAGCTCATAAAGGTCGACCAAACACAGTTAGTCAACCCATAGCTAGGTAGGCAACAAAGATTTAGCTTTGCATGAATGGGTCACAGCACTTCAGTCCTCACACCTGACAGACCACCTCCATCTTCGATAGCCTCACGATCATTACAAAGACGAAGTTGCTCTCCTCGTCTTCGGGCGAACTGGGAAAAACAACTCATGCCCTCTCACCCCTATCGAATTTCAGCCTGTTTATCCATCTCACCTGGGGTACCAAACAACATCATGTCTGCAGTATTATCACATGTGCCCATTATAGAATACTCTCCAATCTCGCCCGAAGACACCTTTTTCTTCCAGGAAGCCATCGCCCTCGCCGACCAAATTCTCAAACTTTCCTCTACCAGGCCCCTTTGCCCAGCTACGAAGAAGAAGGCCAAGGACCTCAAGGAATTCGCTCACGAGGGCCTCTTCCCAGACTCCAGAGCAAACGAGCGCCACACCACAGACGACTATCGCTGCGACGTAATCGACCACACGAAAGATCTACTGGGGTATGTTGCAGATGAAGCTAAGTATCACGATCTCACCACCAAGCTGTGCCGAATATTCCGCGAGCATTATGTCCTAAAGTACACGTACTGTCATGTGGATGACTTGCCGGTAGCGCTTCACAAGCTGTGCGGGGCCAGAAGTTATAGTCGCTGCTTAAATTTTGTCGTATAGTCACAATAGCGGCATCGACGTTGAATGTAGAGAACGGTTGTCTATTCAAAGTAGGAAATGGGCACGAGGTTTCGCCCTGAAAGAGAGAGTGCAAGCGAGTGTGGTCCTCGGTGATTATGTAACCGGGGTCGCGTGACATGCGGTGAGGCAACGGATGGTTGAAGCCATCACGACGGATTTCATACGCACGCGGATGAATCCAACCTGGGATGAGCTGTTGCGGGGAATGCAGGAAACATTACTCATGTCGAACTATGAGTCCGCGCTGAGGGAGCGTGAGCGAGAGTTGGAAAGGAAGCAAAAGCGAGAATTGGAAAGGGAGCAAAAGTCGACTCCTAGAAGTTGGAAATCCACGTACGTGAATCTCCATGTTCCCGCAGTGAAACCGTGGAATTCCACTGCACCTGGGCCGTGGGACTTCCCAGCGTCTGTAATCCCATTTTCGGAGCTATGTGGTTCATTTGCACCTGTATCATGGGACTCATCAGAGCCTGGGCTGTGGGATTCAACAGTGCCTGAACCCGAGGATTCGACATCAACGGAGCTGTGTGATTCTTCTTCACTTGAGGTTTCGGATTCACCAGCGCTCGGGCTTTTGGATTTAGTTGGGGACTGGGACCCAATGGATAGCAACCAGAATTCGATACTGCCTCTCACAAAAGAGCCAACGTCAATCGACGCTGTACCGACGACCGGATTTTGGGAAACAAACGAGGACCCTGAATTAACTAATAGCAAGCAGGATCCCTCCCCATCTCCCACTCTGGGGACAAGCCCCCCTCTCTTCCGTCCACTTACCCCATCAACAGACACCATCAAAAGGATCGCACACCTATTCTGTGAGGACGGATGGACTAACAGGGAGTACGCGCAAGAGCGTGCCGACTTCCTCCAATTCCTTAAGGAAAACACACCCAGCGGCCGCATGCAAAGGGACTACAACCGCTACACGGAGAAGCTCTTGCGTGGAGAGTTCAACGAGATAGCCGGCCACCTCCGCCGCGACAGGAACCTTCTCAAGACAAGGCTATACCGCGCAGAAGACACGAGCCTGCGATCGGCCTTCAACGACGCAATTCACAAGAAGGAGAAAACCTTGTTCTTGGTGAACAAGTACGTATTCAATGGTCACGATGACCCGTTCTGGAGGGTGTACCCGACAAAGGAGGCGGTAGAGATGAGCGTGTTCCAGGACTACTGGGAGCAGAGGCCTAGACGTCGCACTGACGATGAAGATGACTCCTTTGGAATATTTGACATGGGTCTCGGACCATTTAGTTAGTGAGCAACGAGTGGTAGTTACGCCGGACGGGACTCCTTCATGTGGCTGGGAGTTGTGTGGCTGGGAGTTTCGGTAATTACGAATATAAAGACCATGGCTTTCAATATGAGTACAGGCATCATTGACAAGTCATCGTACCTTGGAGAGGTTCAATCCGAATCTTCCAGACCGGATATGGGGCATGTTTCATACGAAGCGAGTTGAATGTTGGTCCCGGGGTTTGTCGGTGGTAAGCAGTAAATCAAGCTCACGTATCAATCCGTTTGTTCCTTGAAAGTACTATTTCCGAAAATTCTTTCTTCCAAGGGCCATCCAGATTCTTTCATTGCGCCTGCAGCCCATCCTTTTTGCCCCAGTAAACATCTCTTCCTTTGAACATGGATTGAGCTCGATATGGGAAAACTTTCGAGAGCTATGTCATATCTGCTAGCCTTCTGTGGTGGGTTGTTAGCATACATTCATGTCAAGTGAGAGGAAGACACGTACAATGGCCACAGACGCCGTGATAGCGATGGTCGGCACTCATTGCATTGACGCGAGCCGATACCGTTGAAGTTTGGACCAGGTCCAGACAAAGTTCAACCTTGACGATACGTGTAAAATCCTCTTGATCCCGTGACAGGATAGGTTGAGTGTAGTCTCGGAGGTAGTCCACGTCAACATTGGCGGTGCTCGGATCGAGAGAAAAGTGGCAGTGGTCGCGCCCGTTGTCGTTGTTGATGAGGCACAGTCATAGTCTGTGGCGCAGATAATAGACCGCCCAGCGTGTGTTGTGGCGACCTTGGCGTCTGAGCTGAGCTCATGCTCGTCCATGTACATGACCTGATTGCGAACTCTATCCACATCGTCAAGCTAGTTGGGAGTGTAGCGGATATCAGTGTTGGAAGGGAATTTGAGGGCGGGAAGAACGGGGGCCAGGGCCTCGTATTCGCTCCTTCTGTCTTAAGAATCCATCAACGCTCCTTCTGATTTCAGTGTTTAGTACAGCTGACTGGTTCCTACCTGCCCGTCCTGCTTTCTAAAGTAGGCAACCTGCCTGTACACGCCTCCTGCCCATCTACGCCAGACGTGTCGAATTACATCAAGGTGGCGGGTGACTTCCCCATCTACCAGCTTACGGTCCCCTACCCGTCTGGAAGAGCGTGATCAGGTATCCGCTCAGCCTTCCGGACACGGACAGCGGTAGTTCTGACTGTAATGGAAGTACGTCTCTCCATTGTGCAGTAATAGAAGGTGGTCGTACCGAAATCGCGAAAATGTTGCTCCAATTTCCAAGTGAAGCTATTCACCAGCGAACGCAAGTCAGTCGTGGTCGAGAAATCACGCATTTACCACCGAATTTGAAGAGCTTAGAAGTCAACATTGCAGACAAATATGGCAAGACGGCGCTCCATCTGGCTGATGAGTTCAGAGTCCCGAAGACGGTCAAAATGCTGTTAGACTACGCGGCCGATGCGGCTATTACTAAAATTCACGAATCTTTGACCAGTCATGTCTTGCAATTACAATCAAAGGAACTTGGAACTCAAGCACTTCAAGACACTCAAGACAGAGGCCGGTATAAAGATGTACTGAGGTTGCGAATGCCTGTGACTAGGAAACATATCCCGTTGAATAGAGCCTGTATATGAGCAGCGGGTGGGAATGCATGCAGTACTAGTAGCACTCTCGGATCGCTGGGAATTGCAATTTTAACTGCCAAGGGAACTAGAGATTCAGAAGCGACGCTAAGAACTGAGTGATTGCCTTAATGGCGTTGGCGTGAACTTGAACGACTCGCGCAAAGCCCCAGTTGAGACGGGCACGCGCTCGGCTTCGCAATCAATCCCACTCGGCCCAGAATTTCCAGGTCCCCAACTCATTTGTTGCGTCTAAGCTCTGACGGGCCTAACCAGGCCAGACCGCCGCTATCGCTGGTTCTGTTATCTACGACTAGATCTCAGGGCGCAGCTGTGCTTTACACGGCCCGGAAAGCAAAACTCAATAACTGAGAGACGATATATATGTACTTCAGTATCAACTCCAATCTCATTCCGGAAACACGTTGGCGTGAATTTCCATAAGGGGGTTCCAGCTAACTAGAGAATCGCTGTCAGTATCTGGTGAAAAACTGTTTTGGGAACTAACATTAGGGTTTACATATAAACTTTTCGCCGGCATGCAGGGCAGTATCAGATAACGAGTCTGTTGTATCAGTGATATTACACAGCGAGTCAAACCCCATGAACCTCTCGCAAGGCTGCGAATTTAAGCCTCAATTTTCGCAAATAAAAAGCGGATAATGCCAGACCTCAGACGAAGTTGTAAATACCACCACACACCAACAGTTCCCAACTTATTTATCTTTATTAGCCAATCCTGCCTGTCGAAGTATCAACCGACACTCGTTAGGTATGATGAATTCTGCCTCTCATTCCAAAGTCGTCGTGTGAACTGATCAAAAAACTACTTAAAGTCACAATGCAGCCCTTCACCTTCGTTCTGACCACCGTCTTCGCCGCCACGGTAACGGCACAGGGTTGCCATTTCTGGGTTCGAGAGAAGTCGACCGGGAACAACGTGTTGCAGAAGTGTCTCCAAAAGAACGAGGGGACAACCGCCTTGATCAATGGCGCATCAAGCGTGTACCTCCAGGCCGACTCTAACTGCCGGGTGACGGTGAGCAATACCGGATACAACACGGGGCCTGTGGGATTCGACGCGTACTACGACGGCTCTTGCTAAAGTATGTTTTCACTCGCCTGACGTTGGATCACTAAAGTTGTGCTGACGTTGTTCGACAGAGTGCAACGCCTGTGCCAATATCGTGGCAATTTCTGGTGTTCTTGCGAAGTTCATTTGTAATTTTTTTTTCCCACCGTGTACATACAATTGCGAAGCGAATGGCGTTGAGTGGTGGAAGGATTCGGGGTCGCCAGGGCCAACCTGCTGCCGGACAAAAGCTAAGATACTCAATGTGTTCAATTGGCAAAATCTCCAAAGTGTACGGTCGTTGGTGCCGAACGTTTCCCTCGTGACAATGTCTAATTACCCGAAGTCTACTCGGTGAATGGAACATGCCAGCAAGACAGTTTTGCGAATGACATGAGTATGCTTGGAAGCCCGGTTCGAGTGGAGAGACGTCATCCTTACCCGCCCTGGTTGGGAGGAGCTAAGTCTTACACGCAGAACCAGGAGTCGTCCACCACCGTAGAATGCTGCGCTCCATCCCTCGTGTAGTAAAGAGCTTTAGATGAACGCTCTCGTTACCTTGGTGCTGGACCTTACTTCAGCCCTTTCAGCAGCTGTTCGGCTGCCCTCCGACTAGATGCATAAGAACCGAATGAAGCTAGAATGTTTGACTTGGTAGCTCGGGCGATCGACGAGGCTTTGATGCGGAAATGTCTCGGCTTGACTTTGCCTCGGAATCTGGAAGCTGGCAAAAGACATGCAGCCAGGAGCGGTCGAATTAAAAGCTGCCGTAGTCAAAGTGATAGGCTTAGCCCACCTGCCAGCTACACCAAGGGTCTTCGAATAGCCGTCGATGGATGAAATGTATCCGCAGCGAGGATGCCTGACGGTGCGCCTGGGACGGTCCCCCTTGTCGTAGTGCATTTGCGATGGTGTGAGATCTTTCCCTCTTGCCAGGCTGAGAACATCCCCTCTAATTCTGGTGAGTTGGTGGTCATGTAACAATTCATGCCCAGAATAATATTCAATATTTCAGTCGGAAGTCGCGAAGATTGATTCGTCATCCTTTCAACAAGCGACATGGTGCTCATTGCAGGGTTGGCGGTCAATTATGGCGACACCATCGATGGGCAAACCCACAGGCACTTGCGAGTGGCTTTGCAGTGGCTCTGCAGTGGCTCAAATGCAGCAGAGCGGAGCACTTGCGTCCCTTGTCTAGTGGACACGGCTATGGGAGGGCTCAGGTCGCTTCTAGCACCAACCATTACATCGTAAGAATATTGCGTAAACTAGGTAGGATTTAGGGAGTTCCATGGTGAGAAACGTGCTGATTGATTATTAGTGGTTGGAAGGTGTTTGTTGGTGGGGTCTTAGCTATGGCTGGTGAAATTGAGGACTCCCAGTGCTCGTGCTATTTCAGTATCCAATTCAACAGAATTGGCGAGCAGTTCGCAGCAAGGTGACGACATAGTAGGATCACCACAAATCGAAAACTCTAAGCCTGTGGGCCCCCGCCTGATAGATGGATAGATGGATGGATGGATGGATGGATGGACTAGAGGGCAGCCTGAAATGAACTAATATAAGCTACTGATATAGCACGCACCGTCCGACTATTATCTGTAAACGTCTTCTCAAAAACATATACTAACACGCTGTAGCCTGTGAGTTGAGATCCTGTACTCACTCACCCTACTCACCTTGCTCGCGCTTCTCATGCCACCTTAAGGCGGCGGGTGATCTGGCCGCACCTGAGCGACATAGTGGTGATACATTTATCTATCAAGTGTGTTTCTATCAGCGGCATACTGTTGAATTGTGCCAGACAACTTCACTCAAGGTACATCGACCTGGCTAGTCCGATAAGTTTGTAAGAAACTGGAGGAACTTCCGGGTGTTCATCCCCAAAGCCTACTTGAAATCAGCCTGAATATGCGAGAGTGGAAACTAAAACTTCCCGGATCATCAACAAGGGAAGCTGCGTATCGCCCGCAAAGATCACATTAATCGCTCCTTTTTCCTGCGTTGCCGCATTCTCCTGGCAGCTTACTATTGTTTCCAAAAGTCTTGGTTACTTGCAGTATCAAATTTGTCCAATTTGCCTCCAGGGGATATGTCCACTTTGGTTCTCGTCTACGTCCCGTATGACTCTTCATGGTTAGGGAGAAGAGTCCACGCTTGGCATAACGTGAGCCTTGCAACCTTAGGCTGTGTACTAAGTGCTTCGTACTGGGAAAAGCAAGTCTACTTCGTCGGCCTTTTTTATTGCTCTGGAAACACAACAATATCAGCATAATCGCGGTTCTTCTTTCATCGAGAAGCCGAGGCTG